AGTTTTGCACACCTGCCACCAGGTGTCCCAAAGATGCTTTTCAAAGACAACTTGAACCTTTTTTTTTTCTTTTCTTGAAGATGTTTGGCTTCTCATCCAAGAAACCTCTTCAGTTCTGACTAAATGGTGGGGAATGGAAGGATTGCATATAAATCTCTCCATTCCCCACCATTCAGAAACAAAACCTCTTCAAGGAAAAAGCAAAGGCCAGTTGCCTTTTAAAAAGCACCTTTGGGACAACTGACCTAGGTGACTGAGAACCTCCATAGATATTCTGCCACTAGGTGTCCTTATTCAGGTTTATTATGCTCTCATTTCCAACCATCACCTATTGGCAGCATACAAAACAGAAATTGTTTGATCCTGTTAGCTATATTGTTTATAGAGAAAATAGGATAGGATCAAAATGGAATGTTAAAATGTTTCATCCCTGCCAGGAGCGATATTTGGGTGGAATCAAGAAGCGGAGGCGCACTCGACATTTGAACGACCGCAAATTTGTCTTTGAGTGGGATGCTTCAGAAGATACTTCCATTGACTACAATCCTTTGTGAGTATTTCTTCAAGGAGAGCCTCAGTATGTAGCATGCTGCTTCATAATACGGATTGGCCTCAGCTCAACTCTTGAGTGGAGAAGTGTTTATACCTGCTTTCTTTCTTCCGGGAAGAATGCAATGAAGAGAACATGGAAAAGCATTTGGGTGTGATGCAAAAGAACAAGGACAGTCTTACCCTCTGTGAGGAAGGGATGAATAAGAAAGTCTTAAGGATTTATTAGGTGGTTTGCAAATATTTAGAATTTCCCATTGACATAAATTGTGCAAGTAGTCGGTGCAAAATTGCTTTATTTGTCTACTTGAGCCCACAGACCACTTGCTGTTAATCTTGTTCCCAAGCCCAGGTGCACATGTCTCTCCCAGGTACCCAAAGAAGCCAGGAGGAGCATATACATAAACAAAAGGCGGCAGAGCTCCTATTGTAGAACTAGCCATGTTGACAGATTTGACAAGCTCAAAAGAATTGGAGGTTGAAGTGCAAGATGTTACCTCACTCAACTCACTTGGCTCTGCCCAGCTGGCACTCAAAATATGCATGCAGCTTGGATAAATATTTAGTATGCAGAAGAAATAGCACAAAGTTAAAGAGCCGAGGTGGCACAGTAGTTAGAGTGCAGTACTGCAGGCTACCTCAGCTGACTGCTAGCTGCAGTTCGGCAGTTCGAATCTCACCAGGCTCAAGGTTGACTCAGCCTTCCATTCTTCCGAGGTGG